GAGGGGCCTGCCAGTCCACTTCTAAAAATTATTCAAAGAAAACCTTATGGATCACAAGAGAACACTGCCTGACTAATGTGTTTTGGACACATTATCAGAGGCCAATTGCTAGAGGAAGACATCATATTTGATGAAATAGAGGGACATGGAAGATCCTTAGTGAGGCAGATTGACCTAATCACTGCAACAATGGACTCCAACATTCAGGAATGTGTGAGGATTATGCAAGATCAGACAGCATTGCATTCCATTTCATGTAAGGTCACCATGGAGCAGAGTAGACTTGATGGCACTCTCTATATGTCTGTTTTCAATGACTTGTCATAGGGATGCTCTGCCTGGCAGCCTCTATCTTTCAGGCTTCCAAATAGGGAGCACAAAAGGTCCATAGTCACTGATATTCCCTTCAATCCCCAGGTAAAGCAAGGAGGCATGAAACTCACTACGTGTTTCTCTTTGCTCTGCCTCTCTTCCCTTTCCCATCCTCCAACAGGGCTAGAGGGGATAGATACTTACCTTCCTGTCTAGAAGAGAATTTCTTCCATATCAAAATCTTCTCCTTCCTCAAAAGGCACATACAAGCTTTTCTCCTTGTTCTGCATTAAAATGGCAGATGGGATGGTAGGAAAGAAAATGAATTAGTCCTAAAAGAATGGCCAAACAGATTTACCTGCCACGTAAGATGCAAATAAGTCATCAATCTTGTTATCGACTCACGATGTGATGAGCTCCATCAAAGCAGAATAGTGCACCATGGAGGTCAGACGAGAAAAACCATATTGAGTTGATTTTGTATGAGGGATTCTAGTTACTAATGATACTTTTCACAACAGACAGATTGCAGGTATAGAAGCCCAGACTTAAAATGTCTTTCTAATTGCCTGCCTAAAAGATATTTATAATATTGTCTTCACATGCAAAGGGAACACTTTCTTTACCTTAAATTCCATTTCCCCCCTTTTATGTAATTTTATTGAAGTATCATTGATGTACAATAAACTATAGTGTATTTTGCTTGTTGAGGTTTTTTAAAACAAATCATTTCATTGGGGGCTCGTACAACTCTTATCACAATCCATACATACATCCACTGTGTCAAGCACATTTGTACATTTGTTGCCATCATTCTCAAAACACTCTCTTTCTACTTGAGCCCTTGGTATTAGCTCCTCATTTCCCCCTCCCCTCCCTCCCCACTCTCCTCTCCCTCATGAACCCTTGAGAATTTATAAATTATTTTGTCATATCTTACACTGTCCAACATTTCCCTTCACCCACTTTTTTGTTGTCCATCCCCCATGGAAGAGGTTATATGTAGATCCTTGT